TATTTTCACAAAAATTCATGCAACTGGTTAAGTTTTTATCGATATAGAGATATGCGGTACAATTTAATCAATTAGGGTTAATATCACTCGAGAGAGGGTATTGATTTAAAATAGGAAAATCGGGTCTAACTACTTATTTTGATAATTTCCATCAGCACATAATTGGATTGATATTAATGAAATAAAGGTTAAGCGAAAATCATAAATTCCAACCTCGTTTAAATCTTGTTTAAATCTTAATCTCGTCGCCTTTTAAGTATTATTACAATATTTTAATTTAAATCGTGTCTTTTCAGTTTCAAAATCAAGTTTTTAAATGTGTGTGTCAATCTCGTTAATTTGAAACAAATAAGCTTATAATTGAAATCAATACTCTCTGTGGGATCGACTCAGACTTAAAAGGTTCATTTTACTACTTGATTGCGACCCGTGCACTTGCGGCATAGTATTTCAAGCGAACAGGTGGCATCATCAATGTTGCTGTCAACGGTTTTCTTCTTAAAAAACACTGGTTTTGGAAGACAACTTGGTGGAGGCGATGAAATGAAAGCCGAACCTACTAGAACTTCAGGACCTGGATCTGGTTTAGAATCATATTCGGCTCAGGACCCAGCCGATCCATTGAGGAAAGAACAATCAAATCGTCAATTGCGACCACTTTCTTGTTCCCCTCGTCCATATCTTTGTTCAACACTTCTCCGCGCTTCAAAATCTTAACATGCCCCATTACCAGGGTGCGGTTGTTTGGAGGTGAAGTAGAAGAATATCGATTGTTGAAAGTATTCTGTTGGATTCTCTTCCATCGACTCGATTTCCCCGGATAAGAATTAGGGTTAGGGTTAGAAGAAATATTTGGTTTTTTCTGGAATTTCATAGGGGGTTGAATTGAACTATGATGAGTTCGGTGGTGAGTGAAATGAAATTTCTATAATTAATATTTAAAATATAATTGTAGGGGGTTTAAAATATTATATATATATATATAATTACAATTTATCTAACTAAAAATATCTGACTTTTGAAAATTAAAATTTCAAATCTGATTTTAGAATATGGATCTTAAAAAATAGGGAATTGTGTAATTTCCATAGGTTGAATTTAGATGGGAAGAATACATAAATCTTACTTTTACTTATACACATTTCAAAATTAAGGTTAGATGTTTTATATTTCAAAAATCAGGTTTTTATTTAAATTTATTTATGAATTACTTAATTAATTATATGTTTTATTAATAAATATATAACGGTCACAAATATATACAATTTGGTCACAATTAAAAATTTTTATAGGTCACAATTTGTTTATTGGTCACAATTTCGAAATTTGAAAGTCACAATTTATTCATTGGTCACAGATCCCAAAATTTATAGGTCACAATACTTATTTAGGTCACAATTAATAATTTTTAGGTCACAAAGTAATAATTTTTAGGTCACAATTAATAATTTTTTGGTCACAATTAATAATT